TACTGCTGCACTAGCTTGCCTGCCTCTTCAGCAGTCAGTGGGCTGTGCTATTAGCAGACAATCAGGCAGCCGTGGGCACACAGATGAGGTGGACACGGGCATGTTCACAGTGCTCCATGTGAATCCGTGTAGATGGTGCCAAGGTGATTGCTCCCAGACAGAGCTTCAGTGCCACCCGCAGAGCCCATCAGACTTCTCCTCAAGGGGTAGGAATTGAATCTCACTCCACATCGAAAGGGCTTGGAAATGGGGCTTTTAGAGGAGCCTAGGGGAAGACGCAAGATGAGACTAACTTGATTCTTTGTTGAATCATGGCCAAGGTAATTGCTGCTAATCTACTTTCTTACTCTCCCATCCCTGGTGTGTTTTACAGCACCAGGAGCTCTTGTTCCAAATAGTTCTACGCTGCTATTCTTGTGTGGCTGTCACACGCAACCCTGGAGAGGTGACTCCATGTCATCAGGAAGGGATGATAAAAATATATGCAAACACGCACTTGCTTTCAAAAATAAACACAGGGCCTTGAGTTAAAAGTCAATATGTAAGTGTCCTCTCTCTGACACATCAATCTCACTCTCCCACTGCTCTCCCAACCTTGCAAGCGCAGCCTGTGTTGGTGTTACCGCTCAGACCCCTTAGGATTTGCCACTCGGCTGAGGTAGATCCTTCCCTTGGTCATGATTCGGAAATTAAGATCCCTGGGGTCCTTTGGTTTGGCAATGTGGAACTTTTAGTAAACAATCCAATTGAACTGGGGCCATTTGGGCTGCTGCCAGAGCGTGGTCTGGTCTGTCATGACCCTCTATTCCTCTGTTGGAACCTTCTTACAGGCTCCCCTGTTTGTGCACACCTTCGACAAGACTTTGGCCCGCAGTGAATACCAAGATTTCCATGCAGAATAGTTGGGCTTCCAGAATGGATTCCAGTATTCTGCATGTTACATTCTTGAGGTTGATCAGGGTAAGCTGTCTTACCCATCCCTTTTGGTCTTCTCCTCTGTTGAATGGGGGTAGTCAGCTTGGTGTAGTCTCTTTACTCACTGCCACACATCTGTATCAGTCTCTCAGAGAGACTGTGCATGCGCAAAACAAAGGTTGGAAGTCTGTAATGATAATAAGAATCTTGCCGATTCCTCTTTGAGAGCTCACAAAGGTCTCTATGGAAAGGCTTTTCTGTTTATTTGATGTTTTCATGGTTCTATTTTGAAGCTTCTTATTCTTGAGGTACATATGTCATACATCTGAAGTTCAGATCAGAGCAGAAGTCCTTAACATCATATCTAATATGTATAAATACACCCAATAGCACAGATGAGTAGAATAGGTTCTTGTCTTTGTTTTTTTTTTAAGATTTATTTTTATTATTTTTTTTAATTGGAAAGGCGGATATACAGAGAGGAGGAGAGACAGAGAGGAAGATCTTCCGTCCGATGATTCACTCCCCAAGTGAGCGCAACGGCTGATGCTATGCTGATCCGAAGCCAGGAGCCTCTTCCAGGTCTCCCACACGGGTGCAGGGTCCCAAGGCTTTGGGCCGTCCTCGACTGCTTTCCCGGGCCACAGGCAGGGAGCTGGCAGGGAAGCGGGGCTGCCAGGATAGAACCGGCGCCCATATGGGATCCTGGGTGTGCAAGGCGAGGACCTTAATCACTGCGCCACCGCGCTGGGCCCGGTTCTTGTCTTTGTGCAAGAAAGAATTCAGACATGACGGAGGTCAGCAAGGCAATGAAGTTAAATGGAGTAGGGCATCTGTCAGAACAGATGGACGCCTCACCAGATGGAATCTGACAGAGTGTTTAGCCGTTCAGACTAGGGAAAGTAAGGTTAGAAAGCTCAACAAAGAAGAGTACCCCTGGGCTCGGTATGGTAGCCTTCGTGGCGAAAGTCCTCGCTTTGCACACGCTGGGATCAAATATGGGGCACCGGTTCATGTCCCAACAGCCCCGCTTCCCATCCAGCTCCCTGCTTGTGGCCTGAGAAAGCAGTTGAGGATGGCCCAAAGCCTTGGGACTCTGTACCCGTTTGGGAGACTCGGAAGAGGCTCCTGGCTCCTGGCTTCAGATCAGTTCAGCTCTGACCATTGAGGCCACTTTGGGAGTGAATCAGTGGATGGAAGATCTTCTTCTCTGTCTCTTCTCCTCTCCATGTATCTGACTTAAAAAGAGAGAGAAAGAGAGAGAGAGAGAGAGAGAGAGAGAGAGAGAACCCTTGAGAGACTAGGAAGACAGCTCAGTGGAGAGCTGAGAACTGAGTGTGCAGCCCTCCGCATTCACACTGGTGCTTGTAAGGAGATGAGGCTCAGTTCTTCCTTCCCTTCTTGCCTCTTCAGGACATAGTGTTTGCTGAATTTGAGTTAGGTGACATTTCTCTCCAGGATTAATTACTCAGTGCTATCAGTCTGAGAACCCACCCCTAGGGTGTCTTCCTTGAGAGGGTGCTGAGAAGCTTTTATTGCCCACATTATCAAGTTAACCCATTATCAAGCTAACCCATTTGGTGCTGAGCAGAGAAGATTCTCCTGGAGAGTTTCCTGGAGGGAAAAGTTGGAATCACTTATAAAATGATCAGGGTATGGGCAGGTCTTTATGGGGGGAAAATAACGGCTGCATCCAAGGTGGCTCCCCAGGCTGCCGGAAGCTTCCGGATTCCTTTCCTTTCAATAATTTTCCCAAGAGTTTGCACACACGTATTATTCCCAGCTTCCTAGCTAATCTCTACTCTGTCTCTAATTTGTTATTACCACTGTCTTATTGGTAAATATTCCATCTTGGCTATAGAATGAAAGATTTCATATGCAAAGGAATTTGTGCATGTAGTATGCCTAAAAACTTGGATTTGGGATTTGTGGGTTAGGGGGAGAGTACTGTTTTTGCTTTTGTTTACTGGGAAGTAAAGGAAAGAATCTATACTTAGTAAGTACTCACTAGGTAACAGATACAGTACTAAGTACTTTATATACATAACAATTGTGTAAAAACATTAAGTGGTGAGTGTGAGGAACGTAATTCCATCCTTTCTACCACTATCAGCACCCCAATATCACTCTTCTTAGAAGTGCCAACAGAGCAGTCCTCTTGTGTAAAACAGAAGATGACTAGATAGCATGGAGTCCTAACCAGGACTCTTCAGCTAGAATTAAAAGGGCCTATAATTAAAGGCAATTGGGACTGGGCCAGGGAGCCATACCACTTTTCCACTTTTGAAATTATATTTGAAGTTCTCTAACTTCTTAACCACACAATCCCTAACCCTTACCCTCTGCCCTCTGTCACAGGTTGATCTCAGGTAAAAGTGCAAAGAAGGTCAAGTTTTGCTGCCCTGGAGTCCCACTGTAAGCAACCAACCCCCCCCCCCCTTGCAAACACCTCCCAGTGGGTGGAGTGGTGGCTCCTGATTCATCTGTCAAGCAAAACTTTAGCAGGCTGTTCCCTCAGGGCTCTGCTCTCAGATCTAAAGCTGATAAACTAATTGGGGCTAATGTGATAATGGGCAATAATGACATTTACTGTTTTTATCAAGCCCAGGGCATACATTTGCATTTTAACAGGACCCATGGCAAGCACACCAGGTTGAATAGCAGGGGGCTGTGGGAAGGTTTGGTGCAGGTTAGAAAGGCAGGGGGATTTTGTAGTTTCCTAAAGTACACTATCCATACCTTCTAGTCCTTTTTTCAATATCCTCCTATGCCCATCCTTGCTGCCAACCAAGCCTCGCACATTTAGAAACATTTACACATTCCTGTTGTATAAACCAAGGAAGCAAGCAAGAAAGAACTGATATTAGTGCTCAGCTCAATACAACAACCACTTGCTTTGTGTTCTGGTCACAGACAACTTTTTCTTATAGGCAGATCTTCCTTTTTCACATAAGGAACTTCTTGGTTTTGATCGCAAAATCTTTGTCTGTTTGCCAAAACTCAATTTCCCTTCCCTCTTCCACAAGGGAGAGGCCCAGTGTTCAGGCAGCCTTGAGAGAGAAAGTTAATGGTTAGGGGATAAGTACTTTTTCTTGCCAGCAGCAGTCACTCATCTGTATAGGTAGAGAGGTAGTTTGTGACCCAGTGAAGCAGATATAGGTGACTCCCTATATGTGCTTGGCCCAGGAGGATGTGGGTTACATGGGTGTTTGACTTTCCAGTTTCAGCATCTTGGTCTTTTCATCTCTAACTCTTTTAGGGGCGTGTCAGTAAACACCAAAAATAATCATGTGAGTGTCAAAAGGAAGCAGAAAATTTAGATAATCCAACAACTGGATCATCTTTCTTTGCCTTGATTGTTGGGAGTTTACTGTTGGCCTTGAGTGTTATGGAGTGGACCCTCCCTTTCAAGCCTACTCCTAAAGGCACTTACGTGGAGGGCAGGGAGATTGGCTCTTCCAAGTCTATTGCAATTGCCAAAGATCACTCACTGACAGAGGGGTAGTTATTAAGCTCAGAAAGAGAACTGGGTAAGGACTCGTTCTAGAATCTGGTACTTGCACAGCAGGGCTAAGATCTTTTTTGCCAAAGAGTGTGGGATAAAATCAGATTAGGAATAGATAGCTATCCAGAGCTGTAACAGCTCCACTAGATTTGGACGGCTGTTCATCTGGCTTTTGGCTTTCTCTTTTCCTGATGGAATCCCTGGGGAAAACCTTGTGGGCTTTTTTCTTCTTTTCTTTTCCTTTCTTTCTTTTCTTACCTTTTTTTTTCCCCCTCAAACTTGCAACAGGCTCTATGCTGTAAAGAACAGTCACAGCAAATCAGGTCCTCATCCATTAACAGGTCGTCTCTCTGGTCTTGAGACACAGGCATAACCTGGTTAGACCTGTTTTGTTTGAACACTAACGTGTGAGTTGGCCAAATGCAAATGAGCCGATGTTTGTAATCCTTTATTTTATTTTTTTAAAGGGCTGGGCAGCCAATCAGAAGAGGGGGGAAGTGACTTAGGGAATTCCCGGTTGGTGGCTTATTGCTTAACATCTACAAAATGATTTAAAATTATTGTCATATGCATTTATCTCCACTCTGATGAGGGCTCAGACGTGATAACACCCGTGCCTCCCCATCCCCGTAGGAGCTGGCGTGATTGCAGCCCACTGCCTGCCCTCCATTAGCCACAGTTATTGGATTTCCCACCCAGAATCTTTAGGTAAATGAGGTAAGTCCTTATTTTTAAACCTTTTGAATCTGAAATTCAAACACCTGAGTGGAAAGAGAAACCTGCCTTGAATCAGCCAGATGAAAACAAAACACTCCTGGAGGTAGCTGGCAGGAAGTGAAGCCTGCCTTATCCAGGCTTACCTTGCTAGCTCTCAGTAAGATTTCGGTTTGCAGGGCAGTTGGGTTACTTTGGGTGTTATTTGCGTGTTCCCTGTGTTGTATGAACCTTCAAACAATGTGAATTAGAAACCCTCTAGGTTTCCCTCTATTTGTGGGGGCAAAGTGATGTCTCTGGGTTGTTGAATTCTTCTGAAGCAAACAGGCAGGGACAGGTGAATTTCCTAGAGCTCAGTGAAGAACTTTTTGGCTAAATAGCTGTTGGGGCTCAGAACACATGGCCTCACTTTCCAGAGATGTCTTCTGCTGGTAATTTTTCTGACTCATGAAGTGTAGGGAAAGGCCAGTTCGAGTGCGGGAACATGGCTGTAAATAGGCAAGGACGTGTACATCCATGCTGGAAGAAGCCATCAGACAGCCAAGGGAGACAGGGCTGCTGGGGAGAGCTGAGCACCTAGAGGTGACTCTGCCTAGAAGGAAAAAAGAATCAGTTTTAGCTAAGGGTGTTTACCCTATCACAAGGGGACAAAGTAACCCTTTGTTACCCGATGGGCTATCAGAGCCAGACAGGCAGACATGACTCAGCAGCAGCAAATGCCTCCCGAACAGGGACTCTTTTGATTTTGTTTGGACATCACAAAGAAATGTTGGCCTCAGTGTAAATTCAAATGGGTACAAGAAGGGATTAATCATCTTGTTGGTAAATAATGCCAAATTGAACAAATCATCTTGACTGAATTAGCATTTTCCCAGTCCTGTTTTTTTTTTTTTTTTCTCAAGAGCCTGTGTAAGGGTCTGTGAGCCCAACTTGACTGATGTGTCTTTAGGTTTTCTGTACCGACTGTGGTTAAGGGGGAGAAAGTGCGAAATGATTGAGTTCTGAGAACTTCTGATGGAGAAGCTGATTCAGACGCTGGCTCTGAGTGTGTGCAGATGAGGATGTGTTTAGAGAGAGCTCTAAATGTGTCCAAGGACAGTATGATGTTATGAAGAGCTGTGTGATAATTCCATTGAGGTTAAGAGAAAAGTCAATTTCCAATGAGAAGAAGATATATTGTGAGGAAGAATTTGCCTGATAAGCGACGCAATCTGTGAAGGCTTTGCAGAGATTTTAGCCATGAGTTTAATAGCTCTGTTTGGAGTTAATAGAAGGATCTATTTGTCCTTTTTTTGTGATTAAGAATCTAGAACGATAAATGTGTATATGGTATGGGGGTCACATAGGATCATGTTGTTTCCACCTCGATGCCTAGTAGGATTTAAAATCCATGACGGAACACGGCTTGAAAGTCACTTGGAAGTCTGCAGTCATGTTTGAAAAAGTTATAAATACCATTGGGAGAAAGCTTTTTTCTATGTTTCTAAAATATTTTAGAGAGGCATTTTACAAGTCAATTTGAGGGAACAGCTGTGTTGTACATTCTTTTATATTACCATTCAAGATGGCGGCCTTAGCCCAGACCTTTCACACATGGTAGTGGTTACCGTGATGTATTTTATCATGGTCCTATCTGTACAGAAGGTTTCAAATTTGATTCTTTATGTTCTTTTGTGCTAAAAGCCCCAATTGTTAAGTTCAAATATCTTTTGGGGGCAGTTAAAATTTTTTTTAATGTGTTAATATAATCTCCCAATGGTCCTTGGCTGTTTGGACCCCCGCTAAACTCTACATTCTCACTCATGGTTCTGTGTTTGTGGATGATTTAAAATGTTCCGATAACTTCCCAACTTTATGCAGATCCTCTTTCAATATCTTTTTGACACCTTGAGTATCTAAGGCAAAAGAGAAACTGAGAGGTCAAACTGTTGGACTCAATTACATTCAATTAGAAAATTGGAAACCAGAGAGCATTCTTATCAGGTCTCAGTCAGAGCCGGGTACATTTTGACCTTAGTGCATGTCTGTGGCAGTAGAATTTGGTTTTCCAGAATCTATTTCTTCCTTATCACTCCCCTGCTTTCTCATCCCCCTGAGCTTGAAAACTGGAGGACTGCTGTCCCCAAAGTTCAGTGTAGGAAGCTTAGCTATGTGATAGCAGCAAGCACAGGCACGGCAGCTAGGAGAAGTTAGCTAAAAGCATTTCAGTTTTGGCCCCTTCTTCCACACATAGCCATCTTGCTGTCCTTTCAAACAGATGTAATTTTCAGAGATCTTTGGGGGCTGGGGTCAGGTGGATACCAGGAATAATATGATAGAACTTAAGAGCCCTCTTGCAAAAACAATGCCACGATTTTATAGTAATAGTAATAGTGTTTTGCTGTAATACCCTTTCCTCTGTTAAGGTTGCTTTCTGGTGGAATCAAGGTGGTGACATTTTCTGTTGTGGGTGGGGCTCTGGTTGGGAGGCATTGGCTTGGTGTTTAGAGACCACACATTCTCAACTTGCCTCTGTTACTGGGTAACTGACCACAGCACCGGCGCTATCTGCTTGGGTAAGCTGGGTTTGTGGTGGGGATGACCACCTGAAGATAGAGACAAGTGAGCAACCACGGCTTGTCCAGGTGCTTTGAAATCTGCGAGTAACTGAAGGGAGGAGGTAGATGATTAACTTTATTGGATGTTCCCATAGCTAACTTTTAGAAATAAGATTTTAAATAGTTTGATTTATTCTAAGGAGCAGGCAATCATGCGCAGATTAAAAATATAGGACTGTTAGCTTGTTTATTTAGATTGGAGAAGATCTTAAAGGACCAGATTATTCGACCAAGCAGAAAATAAAAAGCGTAGTGGGATGAGGCAGCTCATCTTAGAATAGAGCATATCTTCAAGTCAAAATGGCTACAAGGTCAGAAAGCTGGAGTGTTCAGAGGGGAGTAAGAATTTCTTTGAACCTGGCAGTTATTTGATTTAAAAAAAGGATTTCACAGAGAGAAAGTATGTTTCTTAAAGAGCTTTTCCTGTGGAATATAAAACAGCCAGGGTAGTGATGTGAACTCAGAGTAGGAAAAGCAATCAGGGGCCACTGCTCAGGGCGGTGGTCAGGAAACCTGGCTTTCCAGTCTCGGAAAAAGCTGTGTACCAACGTGATGTACTCTATCTCTCTGGGCTTTGGTTTTCTCACCTGGACAAAAAAGTTTGAACCCAATCGCCTGTGAGATCCATCTGGACATTTTGATTGTATGCTTCAATGACCAGGGGGGCAGGGGTTGGGGTGGAGCAAGGAGCTGTTATGCGGGGGAGTCAGCAGGATTAGGACATGTGTGGAAGCCGGGAGTTGGTTGGGGCGAGGAGCGTCCTGTAAGGATGAGAGAAAAGAAGCCCAGCAGGGCTGTCATGTAGCTTTCTGAAGGTCTTTGGGTTAAGGGATATAGGTAGTGGAGGAATTGAGACCTGACCCCTGAGACTGTATGCTGTAGGAGTGTTCAATTGTACACCTTGATGATACCCCATCTGAGTCTTGTCCATGCTGGCCTGTGTGTGGAGACATTGAAGCTGACTGCTTTAGGACCACAGGGAGCAGTAGATACTTGGGAGTGGATACTTGGGAGCAAGACGCCTTGTCAAGGCATCTTCTATAAAACACGGAGGCAGCCTGCTGCAAAATAAACATTTGGGTATCTGTGATTTCTACAAAGTTTGTTTGGTATTGGTGTGCTTGTCTGACTTGCTGTCGGTGAAACAGGAAGGTGGTGTAGACGTGGATTCATTTCACCTAGAGGGAGATGCTGTGGGTAGTCATAAGGGGTGTCTGGTCCAGCCACTGGCAGCCAGCCCCATCTGGAGCCCCTGCTGTTCCCAGAGGGCCTGAGTTCTATTTCTGGAGCAAATGAAGCTTGCACTAGGGTCAAGCAGGGTGCCCTATTTACTGAGTCTCCTAGGGTATTATTTAAGAGAGACACCCTGTAAAATACTCCTTTGAAAACTGATTTTACTAACACCTAATCATGTTCTGACTTTGGTTTGTTTTACAGGGCTAGGCCCCTGGTTTTGGCTCATTGGATTCCCATTCTTTCTCCCTTTCCTTACCTTTCCTCACATTCTACTCCCACCCTGACCCAAGCTGCTCTCTTTTTCTTAGAAGCCTCTTAATAAGTATTAAAAATAGGACCAGTATAGGTACACTGAAAGCATGTGTTATTCAAAGTTTTTATTAAAATATTTATTGTATGGAGGAGAGAGAGAGAGAGAGAAAAGGGGGTTGAGAGAGAGAGAGAGAGAGAGAGAGAGAGAGAAATATGCTCCTATCCACTGATTCACCCCCTGAATGCTTGTAATGACTAGGGCTGGGTCAGACCAAACTCAGGACCTGGGAATGCAATCCAGACCTCCCGTGTGGGTGGCTGGAATCTACCCCCTCTGCCTCCTCAGCATCTCTTTAAGTAGGAACCTGGAGTCAGGAGCCAAAGTCATATACTGAACCCAGAACTCTTACGTGGACACGGACATCTTAATTATCCTGACTTATTCTATCCACCATCTTAACTTATCCTAACCACTAGACCGAATACCTGACCCAAAACATGCTTTCTCATAATGCAAGCAAAAAAAAAAAAAAGAATGCCAATTAAATTAGATTATTAGACTAGCCAACTGCCTCATTAACTCCAGTATTTTAACATAACAACTTAGTTTTACTTTTGTGTGACCTTATCAAGATGTCCACTTTTCTTTGATGTTGTAAGTGTGGTGAAGTTAAACATTTTATGTGTGGTGCCAACTCCCCCTTGTCCAATGTCATAAGCACACAACAAATATCTTGGAGACTGGGCCCCTGTCAGTCCAGGCACAGATCTGAGCTGTCAGCCACTCTGCCATCCCTTTATCAGCCTGGTGCAAAATTCCTCCAAGTACTCTGAGCTTTCCTCGGAATAGGAGAAGGTCCTCCACTTTTGATATATGACAAAGGGTCTTGGGAAATAGGCATGTCTTCTAGTGTCATC